TTTGGGACTAATTCTTAATTGGATGGTCATGAGAAAAGAAAAGAAATGGAGAGAATAAAGTTTCTCATCACTTTTCTGGATGATTAATGAGGTGAGTAATGGTGAGAAAAGAAGAGAAATTGTGTGAAAGACAGATCACACCAAACTTAAGTTTTGTTTCTTACCAAAATTGGTGAGATTTGGTGAGATCAAAATTACTTTTATAAAAAATTATAATACCTAAACTACTCCTCTATACACAAAACAAATAAAATAAAAAGATACATGTATCCTCCTTTAGTAATTGTCCATATAAATATGAAGGTGAGAAATAACAATCATTTCTTTTCTTTTCTCATATAGATGAGAAACTTCAATCATTTCCTCTTTTTTTTTTGAAATTTTTTTTAGGTCTCATGATCCAAACGAAGTGTAAATGTCTTTGTATATAAATACAAATAAACATACTTAGACAATTATAAGAGCAATTCATATGCTTCACATGAATAGGACCTAAGTAAAAGATCATTAAAATCTATCACTTTATTCGTATCTTTTGTGCCCTTCACATTGTTTAATTAAGAAACAAATTATCCATAAAATTGTATTTGATATTTTGAATATCATAATCAATGTAGTATTTGATAGGCTTATAATGAAGTGATGATTGATTAAGTAATATTCTAAAGTTTCAATTACAATGAAGAACAAACATTTTAATAAACAAGAAATATAGATCATTAACTTATAATGATTCAATTTAACTAACAACTATGATTGATATCAATATCAATAATGATGAAAGTGATTGATAGTGTCAATATTAGAAGAAATTAATTGTAATGATCAAATGGGTAATGTGGTTGGGACTTGCGCAACACATGCCAAACCACTAGTCTATAGAGAAATGAACTTTTCTTTTTCTAATTTCTATTTTGATTGATTGAGAAAGATGGAAAGGACAAATGAAAAGTAGTATTCTTTGATCTGCCAGATGTTCAATGTTTATTGGACCTTGGGATTACCTCGCTGTCACTCAACATGGGCTATCTTTTAAGTCTCCAAAAGCCGTTTTTATCGTCTCTCTCATATTTTTTATTACAAAAGTAAACAAAGACTAAGAGACTGTCTAAGTCTATCGTCTCTCTCTCTCTCTTGGTTTTTTTCCCCCTCTCTCTCTCTCTCCCCCCCTCTCTCACCTCTCTCTGCTTTGATCTTCGATCTATCACTCTTTGACCGTAGCAGACGATAGCGGTTTCAACAACGATGGCATCGTTGAGTAATGATGTTGGTGTTGATGAACTATAGTAGTGGATTAATGATGGGCGATGGCAGTGAGTCTCTTCTATCTCATTTTTTCTTAATTTTCTTCTTCATTCTATTTATTTCACAGATATGAATGTATATGATGGTGGTGAGTTTCATAGATCTGTATATTTGTATGCATGTGATGATAGTGAGTTTCACGGATCTGTATATTTGTATGTGATGATGGTGAGTTTCACAGATCTATATAATTTTATGCATGCGATAGTAGTGAGTTTCATAGATCTGTATATATGTGATGGTAGTGAGTCTTCTCTCTTCTGTCTTTCTAATATTTTCACTATTTTCTCATTTAGTTCACAGATCTGTATGTATGGATTTGAGATTTGTTATTTCGAATTGTGAGTTCCATTTTCTCTATTTTTTTCAAAGTTAATTGAACCAACTACCAAATCGAGTGTTTTGATTTAGTCAATTTTGAACAATAAGTCAATCAATGATAGTTGCGAGAATTGATAGCTTGTTGTGTCAGTTTGATATATGGTCAAAAGGTAAAATCAATCCGATCTGACCCATGAACACCTCTACTGATGGTGTCGATTAAGCTGGGCCAAAGGTAAATCTGATCCAAACTAACGTGTGAATACCCCTAATGAAAAGTAACTTTAAAGTGGTGAAAAATATTTTTGAGTAGTTATTTAATTAAGTACCTTAATTGATATTCGAAGAATTAATTATTTAATTTTTTCTTATCTCAAACTCTTTTCATTGTCAACATTTTCAGGTAGTTGAAAGATGTTGAAAAGTCAAGAAGACTAAAGGGACATCAGTAGTGGAAAAATATGATTGACTTAAACGCAGTTGAAATTGTGACTTTGAATAAAACGAACGAGAGAAAATGGATTTGTGTAGCTGACTCCAAATATTTAGCATTATGTCCTATTATGGTGAGTTTAGTTATAATCATTAGTTCTATATTATGAAATATTTTAAATTATTACTCCAAAGTAACATGCATGTTTTGGTATCTTTTAGTCATTGATATTTATAAGTCCTTCATTTGTCTTCAAAAATATTTGGGCTTTGAATAAGTTATCTATAATTATTGTCTATAGTTAATTTTTATTTTGATTGTCAATTCAAATTACATTGCCTACATGATAATGCAAAGGTGGGTTTTTTTGAGGCTACCACTTCTATGAAAGTGGACCAACAATGTTCTAAAAGGGTTCATTGATTTTAGGAGTCACCACACAATTATAGGTATCAGAAATCGGGGTCCAAGTTACTAATGGGGAAGGTGTTAAACACCCATTTAGCCTACCGTGTGGTTAGTCTCTAGTTAGCATGATTTTTTTTTTCCATAACTAAATAAAAAATAAATTCAAAACACATATTTACATGATAGTTCATAATCTCGTCACTAGGACCACTATAAGGGTATCCAAGGCTTACATATGATCCAAATTTGGGCATACATATAGCAAGACTTGTGGTGTTAATTTTAGATATTTTTCAACCTTCCTTGTTCATCTATGAGAAGCTTAAAACAAGCTTTCGAGTTCATCCTACATTAGAAAGAAATGAAAAGCTGTAGCACTTTATGAAACACTACATGAAATATCCTTTTGAATAAGAAATTATGGAGAATGATGTTAGTGTGTATACACATGCACAATAAGGATTGTGTGGGTTGTGTGACATTTTGATCATGCATTTTACTCTCAACATGTGCAATTAGGCTTATAAATAGAGATTTTTCATCCTATTACAGAACATTGGCTTGTTTCCTTTTTTCAGGTTGATGGTATTTTAGTCTATTTTCACTTGTGTAGCCACAAATAGGTGATCCTTAAATTAACTTCATTATATGCAAATTTGTTATAAACCGATATGCACTTTTTTAATGGGCAAATATTATCTTTGGGAAATGATTTATTAACACGACTTGAAATATTTTTTGTCAATCTATTGGAGGCTCATAAAGACATAATATTGAAAAATTATTTTTCAACATGTTGTAGCATTTCATACAATGTGACTACCAATAGTTACTCCTTTCTAACAAACCTTATATGCATCATCTTTTTTGATAAACTTTGAATAAAATACGAGTGCTGTTAATAGACTCCTTTATTTCTTTTCAGACCCCTTTCACTTCTTTGGACCTCTAACTAGCAAAATTGATCTCCACCTTTTTTTTGGAATCGTTCCGTAATCCCAATTGCACCTCTTTCTTTGGACCTCCACCCTTTCCACCCCTTCTTCTAGTAGTCTCCCTCCCTTACTACTTTAGCACATTCGACAACTCCCTTTCAAACCTCTTTACCCTCCCTACTACTCTTCCACCTCTAATAACCCATTCCCCAGCCTCCCTTACTTTTGACAACCCCCTTTTCAGCCTCTTCACTCTCTTTTGCCACCCCCACCTCTCCATCAATCCTGCTACCCCCACCTCCGTAGCCTCCTTATCAATCCTGCCTATCCCTCACATCTTTCTAATTTTTCACCACTTTCTATAACTCTTTTCCTCCTCCTTCAACACCTCCTAACCCTTCCTCATTTCCTCAAACAATTTGTGCCTCTTCTCTTACTTCTCCATATTCCCTTTAATAGTGAAAATGACCGCACGAAAGAATGAAAAATAGAGAAATCGTGAATTAGGGGCTACTGGGGAAGAAGAAGAAGAAATAAAAAAACAAAGATTTCTTCATTTTCCTTAATTTTTTTCTTATTCTTATGACACGATAATCAAATTTGGATTCTTATATTATTTGAACAAATACGTTTGAGTCCATATTGGAATTTTGATTTAATCGAAGAAAGACTAAGCCAATTTACTTATGGTTCAAAGAGCACTAGTTCTAGTAGTCAACTTGGTTTTTTCAATTGTTTCTTATTATTAAGAAAAGGTAACGAGGCCAAAAGATAACGAGGCCAGAAGATGAAAAGGCTATGGTGATCGCGTGGTGCTCGGCTTGTGATTAGTTTTGATTGAAAATTATTTGAGATTGAATTAAAAGATAAACAAATTAACTTTAACATATTTTTAAATTTGTTAAACTTTCAAACAAATTATTTTTTGATATTGTTTTCAAACAATGGAAATGTTTTAGTGTGCACATATGTAACTCTACCACAAAATTACGTAATTTGAATATAAATTCGCGTAAATTCGTAAAAATTAAGATTTAGAGTTTGTGTTCAATTTATTCATTTTTGTGAGATTACTTATGCAAGTTCACAAAAATTTACATACTTTTATAATAGGGTTGCATATAGTATACATTGCACACCATAAAATTTTCTAAATGGTTATATTTATTTGTAGTAAAAATGAAAATAAAAACACAAGTGTGTTGCACACATGTTTTAAAAGCTTATTTTGAAAGTAAGAAAGGATGGTTGGAGATGTTTACCGAATGTATTAATGTGGTCAAAGACAGTTTATTCACAATAAAAAAGGGTGAATTAATAGAGGTAGTTGTCGAGATTGTTAATGTGACGTGGGAGGTGGTTGGCGGTTTTGGTAATGGCCGTTATTGGAGGTTTTTAGCAAAGTTGAAGAGTAGCTAGATGTAATGAGCGGTGGTGACGAACAATGAGTGGTGGATGGAATAGGCGAAAGTGGAGGAAAATAAATAAAAAATATTTTCTAAATTAAAGAAATTGAAATTTTATTTTTTATTGAAAATAATTAAATAAATTTTATAAAATATTGACAATCTATAGGTTTTCACAAAGTTCAAAAAGGATTTCTATGGTGAATGAGGAGAGCGCGCCAGCACCTGCACACAACACTACTTGGCCAGCCAATGATTGGCCAATACCCAGAACATTTCTCTTCCCCCAAATTCAAAAACCAGTAGGGACTTACCTGTAAATTCCACCCTGCTGACACCAAAGCGCACACTCACTCACTCATTTAAGCCCCTCTTTCATTCATCACTCCTCACTCAGCAATTTGGTGGAACGCTTATGGGTTTCCAAGCCACGTAGAGGCTGAGGCGGTGTCGGATTCCAAAACCCACCTCTTATCAACAATTTATAAAGTGGGAGGGTTACGGGTTTAGCTCTGCATGCTCTACATTTATCACAAAACCCCTAATTTACTCGTACTTTTTGTGTCTATATATATCATCGGCATTTTGGGTTGGGTCTGTATTTGCATCCCCTTGTGTTTTCTTTGCAATCTTTAGGGTTTTTTGGTTGTGGGTTTGAAAATTTTCTAAAGGGTTTCTAGGGTTAAGTTCTGATCAATGGCTGGTTCATCTTCTCCAATGAGACAACTTGAAGCAGATCTCATAGATGCTGGGAATAAGCTTCTTATGCCCCCATCTTCGATTTATGAGCTCCTGAGTCTTCTTGATGTAAAGACCCACTTGCTTATATTGTTATATATATACTTAGATAGCCCCACATGAACACACACTAACACACATTTCTTTCAATTAATTGATGAATCAAGATGATCAAAAAAAATTGATTGATGAATCAATCAAAGTGTTTTTCTTGGTTGATGATTGTTTTTTGAAGCAATATTTTTTATTGGTTTGAAGATTAAATTTTGGTACTTTGAATGGATCGATTATTTTAATTGAATTTTTGGATTGGTGATTTATTGTTTAATATGGATATAAATTTCCTTTTGCTAGACATTGTATTTTGGTGCTTATTAGATTGGGTATTTGATTTATTGGACAATGGAGAAGTTTATATCTAATGATGTTGTGAATGAATTGTAAATGAAACCATTATTGTAGAATTTGGGGAACCCATGCTCTGGTTGTTTTCCTTGTGGAGACCTGAGAGTCTGAGACCATTTATGTTAGTCATTGTTAGTTTTGTATAGGTTTTCCATCTCCCAACTGCTTATTGTTAATATGCAACTTTCTGATCATATTTACATGTCATCTCTATCCTTGATTGCAAATAATGGAATGGATAGTTCCTTTTATCTTTCTTTTTTCTATCCCATTTTTCTAGGTTCTATGTAATTAGCATCTTGATCTAAGTATATGTGATAGGCTTTTGTCTTGCAATTTTTGCCCTTTTAGTATATTTTACTTGTAGATCATTTATATGGTTTTTGGGTGAGGAGAAGCTTATGCAAAGTTGATGAATTAGTTAATGAATTACAAATGAAAACCATGTTTTTTGACTTCCTTCATAGAACTAGAGAACCCGTGCTATTTATGTTTACCACGTGGTATCTTCTCCGTCCATATGGTTTTACTTTGGGCTTTTGTGTGTCACACATAATTTCTATTCAGGAATTGATAATTTTTAGCCAAAAGTTAGTTTGGGTTATGTGTGACACACAAAAACCCACACTATCAATTGGTGATAAATTGTTAGTTTTGTAATAAAAATTTACCATGCTTATGTTTACGGTTTAAGTGGTTATGTAATGTAGGCATTTAACATATATATTACATCTAGCAACAAAAAATATTTCTTACATTATATTTATATTAAAATACATTAGCGCTCTCCTATGCATTCGTAATCTTAGACCCATCGATGTGGCCTGTTCCCCTGCCTCTGCCCTCACTTTGTGCAACTAAGGGCATGTTTGACATTTTTATGACATATTCATCTTCCTTTTGCCATTTGCAAAATCTACTAGTTTAACTTGGTCTTTGTTATCCTTCTACTCTATTCTTAATCTTTATCATTTTGTTTTGTTTTTCTTCCAGAAAGTAGAGCATCTTTTATCCAGAGTGGATCAAGCTCCTTGCAGATCAATGCAAGATGCTCTACTGCCAGTAATGAAGGCGCTGATTTCTCAGGAATTACTGAGGCATTCTAATCTCGATGTGAAGGTTTCAGTTGTCTCATGTATAAATGAAATTACAAGAGTAACAGCGCCTGATGCGCCTTATGACGATGACCAAATGAAGGTATTGAGAACGCCTATGTCTTAAATACCTTATTTCCCACATCAAACACTATTTTTCCTTTTCAAATTGATTTTGGTTACCCAATACTTATGTATGTATGATGTATTTTGTGTACTTTGATGCCACTCCTCTATTTGATTCACACAGGAAATTTTCAAATTAACAGTAATGGCGCTTGAGAAATTGTCTCTTGCTTCTGGTCACTGTTATACAAAGGCTGTGTCCATTCTGGACACTATTGCAACGGTCAGATCATGCTTGGTGATGCTGGACCTTGAGTGTGATGAGCTAATTGTTGAGATGTTTCATCTATTTCTCAACACCATTAGGTAAGAGCTGTAAATGTGAGCTTATTTGTATCATTGTCTTGTTTTCTTCTCTTTTGGAGCCTTAGTTTGTTTTTATACTATTTATAATTTTTGAACTTGAATAAACTTGCGTGTTAGTTCCATTTCCAGAGTGATTGAAAATTTCACGCATGGATGTACTGTAAATGTTTTTTGTGGTTTGATCTCTTTGTTTTAAATTTTGTACGTTGATAAAATTTTCAATTGTGGAATTCTTTGCAAGTTTCATCAATAATTGAAGTTTAAATTGCTGATTTGGATGTTCGCTTCTTTGACGCAATATGGAATGAGAATGGCAGCCTATGTTTGGTTTGAGTTTTTTGGATTAAGTTTTTTGAAAACTGAGTTTTTTGGTTTTTGTGTTTTTTTTTTGTTTTTGTTTTTAGTGAATATTTTAAAAATTTTAATTTTTTTTTTTACTTTTTTATATGCACCTTATTTAGATGTATCTAAAAAGTAAAAAATTTGTGAAAAAATATTTTAAAAATTTAATAAATACATAAAAATACAAAAAATGTACTGAATTCTCATATATATATATATATATATATTTTTTGTATTTTTGGTATTTAGTGAATTTTTAAAAGATTTTTTTCACAATTTTTTTACTTTTTAGGTATATTTATGTTAGGTATGTCTAAAAATTAAAAAAACTTGCTTAAAATATTAAAAAAATTCAGTAAAACCAAAAAAACACGGAAAACAAGAAAGAAACCAAACAAGTTATTGTACTTATATCTTTTAGTATGTAAATATGGACAGATGCTCATTGTTGTCCTGTCAGATGGTTGTGTTGATGTAAGTAAAGCATTTTCTGTATTATGGAAGAACTGTTATCAGTTCCTAATTTTGGCTGGTATATCTACAGGAGTGCAGTTTTACTAGAAACTTTTCTGTTCTTTGATATACTATCTTTTTCAGTAAAAAGGGGTTTCTTCAAAGTCAACTCACTATAATTTCGAATTTGCTTTGGTGCTCTAGGATATGCCTTTTGTTACCTTTCCTTTTCTAGCGTCACTTTTGTTGAAACTTTGGTCACCACACAACTCAGATAAATATTTTTTTATGCCTGTGACATACAAGGTAAGTTGTCCTTAAAACAGATAATGGACTTTGGATTGCTTCTAAATCTCTTGATATCTAATCAATGGATAATAGACTTCTTAGGTTTGGCTAAGCGAGTATTAGTTCATCACCTATTCCTCATATTCTCCCTCCACACTTCTCTCTCTCATTCTCCTTTCTGCTTATCAACTAATACCAATTGTAATAGTGATTCTATGCTATCTGGTGGAAGTGTATTTGATACATTCCTATTTTAGCATCTGGCTTTGATAAATAAAAAATATGAGGCGTTTTTCATGAAGATCACTGATAAAAAATGGAAGTTCCAACTATTGTCGTGAAAGAGATTGGAGTAACAGTAATTCCTCTTAGATACATCAGTAAAGATTGGCTAATCGCTTATTTTCTCAATATCATGTTGGCTTCGTGAGGCTTCTTTTGCAGATGGAGACTACAGAGCTTGGCAGCAACCAAATCATATAATAGTCAGGGTCTTCATCGAATCCATACAGCCTTATGTTTGGATAGCTGGCATCATTGACTAAACTTTGGATAGCAGCTATGATTTTTCCTTGTTTGACCTTTTTAGTTTAGCTTTTTGTCGTATGTCTTATTTTCTTTTATGTTGCTTTCAATTTGTAAGGACATTTTATTTTCTATTTTGTTTTTTATCAGCCTCTTTTCTGTTTCTCCTTATAGTTTAATATATTAGTGGCGTGCTATATGCTATGCTGTGGTTTCTTTTTTCCTTCTGGTTTAACAAGCAGTGCATAGTCAACATCATGGATGGAAGAAGTAATAGTATCAACATCTTGTTTTTGCAATTTAGGAATGATTAATTGAAGGAGCTACCAAGGAGGCTATTTGCATTTTACATGAGTTTGTGGCACATGTCAATGCATTTATTTGTTTATATGTGTGTATGTATGTGTATGTATATTGCATTCATAAGCATTTGAAAGATTGGTTGACATTCTAATGATGACAATTTTCTTTTGTGATTGATTAACAATTGATGGTCTTTTCTTGCTTAATTTTAAGGTCCGACCACCCCCCTTCTGTATTCTCTGACATGGAGACAATTATGACCTTAGTCATAGAAGAAATTGAGGAAATTTCCTTGGAGCTTTTAAGACCTCTTCTAAGTAGTGTGAAAAAGGAAAATCAGGTAATCTCTTTTTTAACCTTAATTTCATTTTGCCTTTATTTTTGCTTTTCCCATGATTTTATCAATCATTTTTATTCTTTGTTACAGACTGTTTCACCTCTTTCTTGGAAACTGGGAGAAAATGTGTTTAAAAAGTGTGCTGACACACTCAAACTGTATCTCCCTCAAGCAGTGCAATTCATGCGCATCGATCTGAATGATTATGCTGAAATAGTCTTTTCTATTTGCCAGGATGCATCTGAAAAGGAACATACGGTGTGTTTCTCCTAATTCTAATTTCTATATCAAGTGGCAAAGTAGAAATGGTTTTTGCTTTGATTAATATTTTTGCGTAAGAATGCATACACACACACACACATCTTTTTTCTTTTGTATTGAAAGCATCGTTTGATTGTATACAAAAATCTTTTTATCGAGATATATTCTGACACTTTTGGTTGCTCTTATTTATATTTATTTTTTACTTCCCTTCGATTATCAGATAAGTGATGATAAATATAAAATGTCTCCCTCACATTTTGGCCATGTTTGATTGCTAGATATGTAAAACCATGGTTTGATTGGTTAGTCATACCTAGGGATTATAGACAGAATTAGTAATTTGTACAATGTTAGATGGGATTATATATATCATGGGGGTAATTATTACCATTTTTGTGGTAGGAACAGTAAGATTAACAGACAAAAAATGTGGACGCAACATGTTATTTAATATCCTGTCAAGGCTATTTTCTCTGTCTTATCCAGTAAACAAGCAGGTCTGGAAGCCTACATTATTGTGACAACTTTATTTACTAATGAACTCTTCAAAACAAATCAAATACCCTTGTTGGTAACCTGCACTTGGACAAGGGTGTGGGATATGTATCCGATACTTTCCATAAGACACTTCTTATATGTTGGTACTTAATACCATCATTATTTGTATATATTGTTATATAATTGCTATAAAATGAGTAAAATTCCTTTTTGATACTGTATATTACATATAACACAATTTTATCTCACATAATAGACTAAACATAAAAAGACCACTTGTCCTTGCCGAGAATTTGAAGTTTGATGAGTTTGACCTCTAGATATGTACCAGCACCCGTCACCCGTACCTGAGTTCATGTAACATAGTATATAGTTGTGGTCAAATATATAGATCCTATTTCACCATTTCGACCTCTAGATACTATCATGCTGAAACATTCCAATTACCCTCCATGGCTAGTGAAGGATTCATTACTAGACTACAGTACATCACTGATGCTGAGCTGCTGTTTATTACATTCTGAGAAGGGGTTCATATGTTAAAGGAACAAGTTCTAAAATGTCTCGAAAATAGTTGGTACAACCATCAGGCACAGTGTTATCCAATGCAGGTACCTCCGAATCAGCCATACAGACAATGGAATTCTGAATATTAGTGTCTTGATTGAAAACTATGTTGCTGATAGTGTTTACACCTAAGATTATTGTGATATAATGTCTAAATCTTGAGAAGTAGCAAAAGAGCTTTAAAAATAAAATAAAATAAAATAAAACTTATTGAGAATGTGGCTAAATCAATTACATGTCTATTATCTTATGAAAAAATACCCTCCCAACTCTCATTATGATCTAAAATCTGCAGTAAAAAAGGTTCTCTTGAACAAAAGACAATGAAAGAAAATGAAAATGGCGAATGTTTGGTTACTGATATCAGTACATGTGTATTGATTCCGTGGTAGGTCAGGTAATTGTACATGTAATCATTATTTTGATTCATTGACCTGACATGCTTCAGGAAGATGAGAACAACTTGTCTAATATTAAAGATTGGGATGAACTGTCTCAGCCATGTAGATCTTTGTGGTTGTAATTGTTATTGCTTTGTCCATGTAGTAATGCCCGTTTTATTAATGAAAAAGATGATGGCAAAATATTACATGTTAGTACTCATCTCATGTTATTTTCCTTCAGAATATTTCATATTTATAACCGTCAAAATAAGACCATATCTTAATTTGCAGGAGGCTAAAGAGCCTGCACCAGATGCTGTGTGTCCTGGAGGGGCTGGTCCATCTGTGGATGGGACATCTAGGTCTGTTATGAATGAAAGCACTGCTCAAATGAGGGGCACTGACATTTCAGGGGATGAGGAGTCTTCGAAAACATTAGGGCGTTGTAAAGGCAAAAGTATTGATGCAAGGAGCAGTGCCCATTCTGATTATTTGGACTCTACAAAGGCAGTGGATCTGGAAACAGAACCAGATTTAGTTCCAAAGAAAAGGGGTAGGAAACCTAATTCTTTGATTAAACCGGAAGAGGGCTATGACTGTTCCTGGCTTAGTGGAGGAAGAAAAGCTCTACAATCACCACGTCACAAGAAGAAACATTTAAAGAAAGTTGGCAGTTCTTCTAAATGCCTAGCTGCCACAGAGGCAGATCAAACAGAAACTGGAAAAGAGACTAGAACTCAGGTTTCGCCTAAAACATCACATTGTGACAACATAAACGTTTCCCCATCTCAGAATCATAGCTCTCCTGATGGAAGTCTTCATACAAAGGGTCGACCAAAGAAGAAAGGGAGATTGATGAATCAGGATGGTGATCGGGGTTTGTTGTTGGTGCCAGAGAGAGATTTGAGTCCTAGGGAGAAATCTTCACAGTCTGCACATGTCACTTCGATAAAGGAATCTGAAGTTAGAAGGGATTTGAAAGAGAAACCTGAGAGGGGCTCAAGGAAGGATGCAGTTGCTGCTAAGACTAACGTGCAAACAATTCAAACTCTGGGCACTGTAGTTGTCAAGGAAGATGCGGTTCCTAGTGATTCTAAAGGAAAGCAAGAACTATCTGTGCCACAGGTTGGTAAGAAACAGAGTAGTGGCAATACTATTTCTAGGAAGCATGTCTCAAAAGAATCTAGTGGCAAGGTATTTATTGCAATGACTTTGTAATCATTATTTGACAATTTCTGTCAATAAAGATGTTTGTTATGCTTTGATTCTTATCTTTTCTTTTTTGTTCTCTGGTGACCTGTACGGAAGATGGTTTCATTTTCTCCAATCGAATCATTGAATAAAGGTGAAAGTCAATTTGAAGGAGCTTCTAAGACAAACTCCAAGAGGAAGCGTACTCCACAGAAGGAAGAGGTTTGTCTTTATTATTGCATCACGATGATTGCTATATGTTTAGTTAGTTATTGATTCAATAAGTTCTATATACAAATTGTGATTGTTTATTCATTGTTGAGAAAATGGTGTGTTTTTTTTATATTATTAAATCACGTCTCTAACAAAGGTTAAGCATAAATAATGTCATTACATTTCAATCGCAACTCCAAATTTCACGTGCCATGTTTTTAAATAAGGTGGGCCCTATATGTACACATGACATTAATTGTGTGGATTCATGTAGGCGGTGAAAAAACTGGCAAAATTCATCTGGAGACAAATATCATTTTGCTAAATTATTTGTGTAGCTTTAATTAAGCTTTCATTTATATCTTAGTTACGGAGAAGGAAAAGAAATGTTTAGTTGTCTTACTGCTCAACATAACATAACATGTATACATGTGTATTGCTACTGTTTGGGTCTCTTTTCACTTTTATTACCTGTGTGAAGCACTATGATCAGCAGCCTGCTTCTGTAACTTGTTGTGTTTGAATATGTTGCTTCCAAACTGGAACCAAAACATCCCTGGCATCAGCCCTACTATTGAGTTTTCATGTAGTTTTATTTCGACTTCTGACCTTGTTACTTTGGCAACCTATTGTTTGACAATTACATACAAAACTGCTTGCTCACTGACAAACATGACAAACACATATGAAGAGATTTAAAACCAAGAGCTCTTAGAACTAAGGGTTCCAATACCAAGTTAGGTGACCAGTTGCCAATGGGCCCACCAATGCATATCAAGGTCTCATATACAACATTTCTTGCTTTTTTTAAAGTTGTTTTGCGATTGACATAACTGCACCCCTAGATAATGGTGTATATTACTCCTCTCCGTTTGAGTTACTTTCCGTTTCCATCTTTGTATATCTTAGTTTTATTTGTGGTTAATATTTCCAATTCAGGTTTCTGAAATGCCTGGCGATACCAAAACTAACGGTGAAGAACTGGTTGGTTGCAAGATAAAAGTTTGGTGGCCATTGGACAATGTGTGAGTACTTTAAGAATCTTGATATTATGTTATCACTTCTGCCATATCCTTGTTTCTCAAACTCTTTATGTTAAACTGACAGTGCACCCATCTCCTTATTGCTAGCAACATCTCACATCAGATAATATGGAAAGACTACCTAGATTACTTATTGGAACTAGAAATGTGACCAGATCTTGAATTCATGCCAACTAACTTTGAGTCTTTTGTTATATATATATATATTATTTCCATTGACATTTGTGACATTACAATAAAATTTCTTGTACAAGCTCTCTCATTGTCAAATTCTCTCTACAGGTTTTATGAAGGCGCTATTTATTCATTTGACCCTATAGAAAAGGAGCACAGGGTGAGAACATTCTCATTGACTCATATATGCTTTTGTGCATAGATTTCTTTTGCATGTCAAATTGTTAAAACTCATGAGGCTTGCTTCATCTTTCTTTATTTGCTTCTTGGGTATATCTTGGGTTAGTTTTAAATCAAAGGGTATAATAACTTTTTCCAGTATTTGACTTGTGCTCTTTTGGGATTTTCTATTCTTGGTGTAAGTTATCAACTTCAACCTAATTGCTCCTGTCTCTGAAGTCGTGGATTTTTGCTGCCCAATACCTGGCTATATCAACCAGTTTGCCTTGTTTTATCTTAAATTGTGGCTATACTCTAATTCCCCCCCTCCTTTTTCTTGAAGAAAAAACCTTGTTCAGGGTGCTGTTATTTTTTTTTTGTAGATTTTGTATGCTGATGGTGATGAAGAAAAATTGGATCTCACCAAGGAACGTTGGGTTCTGCTTGGGAACAGCACTTCGCCTGAGCAACTGGGTGCTTCACCTAATTCGGTACCTTTTTTCTTCCTTTGTCTACATGCGTGTTTGTTCATTGTGTTTTTTTTTTTTTGGTTTTGTTGTCATATTTTCTTTCATAAAGCCTGTCACATGGCTGTTTGGAAATGCTTATTAACAGGGGCAAGTGACTGATCTTCCAAGCTCAGATGCTTTATCTGATAGGTAAGTGTTGTTCTTGACTGACATTTTGAGATTTTCCTGGATCCTTCAGAAATGTGTTTTATGTCACAAGTTAATCTTGAAGTATTTATTCTTTTATATTCAAATGAACTGCTAACAATTCCCATCTTGAGATTTATTTTCTTCATTGCATTTAACACTTTCAAGTGTGAATGTGAGTTTGATTTCATAATAATTGATACATTGGTGGAAATTGTTACAGTTGCTGCAATTTAAGAGTTTTTTTTATTATTTTATTTATTTTTTATTTCTTTTCTGTCATGCATGTTGTTTTTACTATTTAATTTCATGTCGTAAAGTTATAACATCACGTTCTTGAATCCAATTTAAATTTCTTATCCTTAGTTTCAATAAAAAACTTCTTAAAACTTTTTGTTGATCCCAATTCATTTAAAACATTAGTGAGAAAAATAGAATTGAAATGTGGGAGCATCGTCAAAATTGGATCTCTTGTTTTAAGCCTATTTCAAGTTACTTCAAAATTGGGAACACTACTATTTTAATTATCTATGGGACATTTCACCACCTGGAAATGTACTGTATAACTCTCATTCCTCAATATCTCCTCTTTTCTTATCCCTTGTTATCCCATTTTAGCCATTGTATCTGAATGGGATGTATGATTATTTGGTGGATTTATCTTACTGGTTGTGTGTGTGTGTCTTCTTCTTTGGGCATGTGGGTCTATCTAGAAAGGCTGCATATGGCAGTCCCCCTCCCTCACTCACACAGGCACACTCTACTGTAGGCTCCTCTGCGTACAACAACCTCCAATCAATTCTGAAGCTTCAAACATGAACTGGTAAAAGTCAAAAGCTAGGTCAGAATATGTGCAGGCCTCTAGGCCATGTGCAATCCTGGTTATTAAGCTTATAACAGAAGAAGGTTTGACGTGACCTTGATTGGAAATTATTTGGTGATATCTGGGATCGGGCTAAAATTCTAATATATTACTCCAAAAACCAATTAAAAAAACAAACCCCACTTAGTGCATAAGCATAGCTAAATATTGTCCATCTTAGCTCCCTAGTTCAGGGATACTCCTAGTTGTTTAAAGTTAAAGCCCTAATATCTTTCAAATTTTATCAGGGAAAGTTTTTTTTTATTTTCATAGCTTAGAATGCCAATAAATTCTAATGCATCCTTTTTTTTTTTTTTTTCCTGAACTGTCTTTATTTAAACATTGAAACAAACAATTGGACACCCAAATACCGTGGACAATAATATGTATTTGAAATTTGAATAACAATAAACCCTTTAATCTTTATACAATATGGTGGTTGTGTCAGATTGCTGGTAGTTGTCTACTGTACAGGTCCTAACGGCTTTTTGGTTTGTCAATTTAAGCAGGCCACGAAAAAAGAAAGCAAAAACAAAGTCTCAGTTTTCAACAAAGCAAGATAATGTTGTCTCTTCATCAAAAAGGTAGGTTTGTAAAGCATCGGTAGTTAAAACAGTTTCTGTTACCCAATAAGTGTTGGATTCCGGACTAAACGTTCTGTAGGTTTTCTAGCAGTGGAGGAGCTTCTGGTGGAAAATCTAAAGTTGAAGGCCCAAAACATGGCAGCAAATCCGTAGATGGTTCTACTTGTGACACCTTGTGCATTGTTGATAAGGTGGAGGGTGACAGATCTGAAACATTTGACAAACTGAAGGATAATGAGAGGCAAAAATCTGATGGCAAGTCAAAAACTGCAAATCCTAAGACTGTTAAGAAGTCCAGGCATGACAGCTCCCGGAGTTCCAAGAGTGAGAACATACAAATTGTTGGTGAATCCCATGCTTCTGCTACAACCAAACAGAAAAATGTACGGTCTGAGGAAGATTTGAGTGGAGATGTGGGAAAAGGGAAATCGCCAGATTCAGGTGACGCCCAAGAAAGTGAGAAGAGAAGTGTAAAAAAGCAACAAAGATGGGACAAAAGCTGAGAATTTTCTCACTTCTTCGAGTCTATTGTACAGGAAAGGTGCCTTGTTATAATCCAGTGTTGTTTCAGGTACATATGAGATTACCTTACCCATATTCTTGGTCGAGTTGAGTATATATACCGTTTTTTGGCTCAAAATGAATTTTGGTTGCTGACAAGCTTATGTGTTTGAGGACCCTAGGATCTGTCAAACTTGCAGTTGGTAAATTTTCTTTTTGGGGGAAAGTAGTAGTTGGTTGGTAAGTTATGTGATCATTAAGGGTTTGGGGCATTTTCTTTAGTTCCCGACAGATGATCTGTTTTGGCTGTTGAGCTGTTGTAATTAATTTGGTGGCCTAAACTATATTGTAATGAATTTTATGTATAGTATGGATGGGCCTTATGATTGTCATGCTGCCCAAAGCCAAAGTTTTGTCATGATCTTGTTTCCATCTCATACGCTGCGTCAAGGACATGTAGACGTGGCTAGGTCTTGTTAGGGTTTTGGTGGGGCTGCATGAACGTGCAACGATGTTGGTTCAATCTCTTGTATGTCCGATATATATTATTTGAAATTCATATTCAGTTAAAAACTTAAGTGGAAAGTGGAGAGCTTGCCTTGATCCCCCTTGAATTTGACATCATAGAAATATGCACTCTTTTTTAATCTTAATCTATAATTCTCCAACACTAAGTCCAACATGAAAATTATTAGATTGTTCTGAAATATCATGTGATATTACTTGCGTTGTACTTCCAGCTAATGAAAAACTACAAAATATAATAGTAAGTCATTTATTGCCTCCTAATTGTCTAATAAAGATGTTCTTAAAAAAAAATTGTGGTACTTCCCGCTAATGAAAAATTGCATAATATAATAGGGAGTCATTTATTGCCTCCTAATTGTCTAATAAAGATGTTCTTAAAAAAAATTAGGATCGTTTCTAATTCAAAATTTAGATTGGAGGTGTTGTTCAGGATTGCAGAGCACATTATAGGTCTTTTTTCGATAATATAAATTGTTTATTTTGTGGGGCACTTTATGTTCATGAAAATATTGACTCCCAAAATTCTGGCTTCAGCTCAAATTCTAGATTTTGGACCGTAGATCGACACAAATCCAAAAAAGAAAAATACCCTAATAAATATGGTTAACACTTTTTCATTTGTAATTTTTTTTTGCTATGTTATTAGTCGCATCAACAATACCCCAAATCTTTAAAATTTGATTATGTTTATTTAATCGTACTTCTTTAAAATATATATATATATATATATGAAAAAAGAATAAAATAATTAATTCACTTTCAAACTAGAGCTCTAGATTTGTGATGACTCACATAATGACTAGAATTGGTCTCTTAATATTTTTTTGAAATAAATTTTTCATAAAAAAAATTGTCTCTAAAACCTGTTTGTGGTGACTTTTTTTTCTCATATAGAGTGTCCCACTGAAATGTAATAATGAAATTAAGTCACTTTGCTTCTTCATGTTTGGTTATTTTTGAACTTTAATCTAGAGATGTAAGAAAAATCGATGGAATCGAGCCGTTCGATTGAAACGTACCGAAATTTCTATTTGTTGGTTTGTTTTTCATAACATATGACTTATTTCAATTTTGAAAAATTTTATACCGATACAAACTAAATTGATTGAATATTATATTTAAATATTTTTATATTATAATTTTTTGAACATTTTATGATAAAAAAATATGATAAACTTTTGTGATAAAAACTAGAGAGATAGGTATAGAGCAACTTTCATACATTTTTTCATTCATTTTCAATATAAAATTCTATTATCTTCTATGAGCCCTTTAAAAACTCATGCAAATTTATCTTCTACATCAAATTGACAAAAAAGATAAAATCGAACCATAACATATGGAAAGTATCGGTTTCTCAATCATGAAAATCAAATGGATCAATTGAGGGCTAAATATGTCCTCAACACCTACCAAACCGTACCGTTTACACCCTTACTTTAACCTTTTATATTTCAAATTATTTTTAAAGAATGTCATACTAACAACTAAATGACATAAAATTATTTTACTGTACACAACTCAGACCACTAATATAAATTCAAATTCAGATTTAATAATATATAACCGGCCCAAGTGGAAGGCCATTAAAGTGGTTACCTTGGCCTCGGAAGGCCTCTAAGTTTTATAATGCATATATATATATATATGTGTTCATTAAGGGAAATCCTATACAAAATATATAATTTTATCATAAATTTCATAATATTAACAATAAAATGCGTAATTTTATTATAAATTGATATGATAAAAAATATCATAATCAAGCATAACTTTTGCAATATCAACCACAAAAAGTTTGAATATTTTGTTATGGTAAAATTAGGCGTGTTACGAAATTTTATAATAAAATTACACATTTTTATAATAAAGTGCACGCCAGGGGATAGACTCAACTGCATACCTTCGTCTCTTTATACTTCTCCATACTCCTCTTGTAGGCCCTAATTTAGACCCGCACTGATAATCCGAACCGTCTATCTCATAAGCTTCGTAATAAAAGTTATCCATACAAAAAATAAGTTTCATCGGAAAATTATAAATATAAGAAAAAAATCATTTTATTTTATAAAATGGATTGTTTGTCGTTTATTTTATAACATAAAATGTGATTCTTTCTTAAGATTATAATTTTTTTTTATGAAACTCATTTTTTATATGGATAATCTTTATTACAAAACTTACAAATAAATGATTTGAATTCTCAGTACAAGCTCGATTTAAAACCTACAAAAAAATATATATATAGAAAAATATAAAAATATGAAGGGAACTTATCCCGCCCACCATAACATTTCTCGTCTACTAATTGTCTTACGATTTTTTATATGATTTCCCTGACCCAAGGCCCACGAAAAACATTAAATATTAGAGCCCGAGGAGAAGTTGAAAGGCCCAATTTGGCTAAGTTACACTTTGCATTCTGCCCTTTGTATCAAATTTTACTTTGATTTTTACACATAAAATTATAATAGTCAACTTTTTACATTTATGATCAAATCCTATTTTGGTCCCTACACATGAAATTGTGACAATAAACCCCTTACATTTTTACTCAAATCTCATTTTAATCCATACACAAGTGTTAATGTCACTTTTTTGTTACTTCATTTTTAAATTTTTAACAAAATCCAATCTAGTCTTGTGACAAAAATGTGACTACGAAATGAGAGTAAAAGAGAAAAATCGTCCATGTTTTCCACCATTACACTTTGTTCTACGTGATAAACACACAAGAGTTATATAATATATATATGTGTGTGTGTGTGGGGGGAGGGGGGGGGAAGGGGGGTAAAAGTTGAGAAGAAAAGGTAAGAAAGTAGAACTTTTGAAATATAAAAAATACGACAAAGAAATCAAAGAGAAAGAAAGATGAATAGATAGAAGATCGTGTTAGCATAAAAACAGAGTTTCGTGATTCCAATTTATGTAAAACTCTAGTTCATTTTTTTAATTGTTCAAGATCTGCATTTTGTTTTAACCTAATATGGTCATATTTTGATGTAAATTTTGGAATAAAGTGTGTACTGCTGAAAAATATCTCACTTTGTTTGGTTCTGGTTTTCAGAAAATAGTTTTCAGAAGATTCTATTTATGTATTTTAATGTTTTCAATGATTTTTTAAAATATTTTAAGCAATTTTTTTTTTTAATTTTTAGACACACCTAACATAAATACACTTAAAAAGTATAATATTTGTGAAAACAATCTTTAAAAAATATACTAAATACCAAAAAATACAAAAAAAGAAAAGAAAAGAAAAGAAAATTAGTACATTTATCATATTTTTGTGTATTTATTAATTTTTAAAAATATTTTCACAAATATTTTACTATTTAGCTACATCTAATAAAATGCATTTAAAAAAGTAAAAAATTACTTAAAATTTTAAAAATATTTACTAAAAATAAAAAAACAAGAAAAACAAAAAACTCAATATTCAAAAAATTGAAGCCAAACATACTGGATGATTTTCTTTTCTTACCCTCATGTCGTAGTCACATTCTTATCACATAACTAGATTTTATCAAATATTTAAACAATCGAGTAACCGAAATGAGACATTGATACTTGTATAGAGATCAAAGTGAGAAATACAGAGGTTGACTATCACAATTTTATATACAAGAACTAAAATGAGATTTAACCAGAAATATAAGAGATTGATTGTTATAATTTCATATATAAAGATCAAATTAAAATTTGATGCAAAGTACAAAAATGCAAAGTGTAATTTACCTGCCCAATTTAGTAATGAACATTGATTGCTTCAGTATTTTTCTTCTACCGATGGCTAAACGGTAGAAGTCTGTCAAGTAGTTAAAATTCAAAACTATTAGACGACAGAAAAAATAAAATAAAAAAATCGAAGTTTAAGTTTTGTAATAAGAGAATTTTTGAATTTTTAATCTTGTTAATTTAAATTTAAGTTTTTTGATTTGTTTTCAATTTAAATTATTTATCTATTTACGTTAAGAAAAATTGATAACAAATAAGTATTTTAGTCATTAAATTTAATAAAAATAATATTTTAAATATTTTGTGAGTGTTGCTATTAGCACTCTAATTAATGTTTTCAACCCTCTATTTCTTTGAACCCCTACCTACAAAATTCAAAACCCTAAAACTCCAAATAACACCAAAAGTATCATTCTAAAAATATTACACCAACCAAAATGCACACTCCTTGGCACATACCCTAAAAACCCTTCATCTTCCCGAACCCTTAACTATTGAACTCTTGTCATTGAGCTCAAGCTTTCTTTCATTGGGAACTATTGAACTCTCACCGTTGAACTCAAGCTTGTCTGACCGTCAACAGAGCTCCACCATCGATCTTTGTCCGCTGTTGATCTTTGTCACAGGCGATCTCTCACATCCGACCTCTCTCCCTCGTCAATCTCTTTCATAATTGATCTCTCACCGCCAATCTCTCTTTGTCGTCAATCTTTTTGCTGCTATATTTGAACCTGTGTTGTCGAAAATTACCCACATTCAGACCTGTGTTATGAAACATTATAAAAACATAAAGTCCTGTGTCTGTGAATAAGTTTGACCCATCAAAATTTAATAAATAAAGATGAGTATATATCAATTAGTTTGATTAACAAATAAAACTAAAGTCCATCGCATAACCAAAACATAAGTATGCATCGATGTTACATCTAAAGTGCCAAACATATGAATAAAAAAGTTCGGATCCAAAGTGTCGAGCATATGAATAATGTTCGATTAGAAGTTGCCGAACTAATGCCTTTGACCATGTGTTGCCATTTTTTTTTTACATATGTTTAGAAATTCAGTATTGAAAAAAAAGTCGAACCGTTTTCACTATTCTTTTATTATTTTTAATTTTAAAAAATTTATCATTACAAGGTCAATATCCTCCGAACT